CAAACACACCATCAAAACACAGCACATCCGCTCAAACACACCATCCAAACACACCATCAAACACACCATCAAAGCACAGAGCCGTGCAGAAGAGTCGACATGAAACACTGAGCGCAACCCAGACTCAGACCATCAGATGGGTACATTATGAAAAATAAGCTGTTTCAGAGGCGAAGCGAGTCTTTAGAGTATGACGAAAGACGAACATGTTGTTATTCTTTGGAAATCATGCACAAAAAGACCAGGAACATGAATTGAGAAGCAGTGCAGCTGCAGTGTTCTCCCATGTCCACATCACTGCACTAAACCGCTTCCCCGTGCCTCACCTGAATGGAGAAGAAGCCGCTGTCATCCATGTTTCCCGACGGTTGCTACAGAAAGTAGAACACAAGCATATCAAGACTGTGATCACGCATAACAGTGGCACTTGTAGTTTGAAGCGGGCCGTGTGTGTAGCACCTGCAGAAAGGTCCTGTACTCCTCCGTCTGAACGCCTCCTTCAGCCATGCGCACGCGCTCCTCCTCGTCCAGCTGCTGCGCGATGGCCGACAGCTCCACCGGACTGAAGTACTCTCCCTGCAGCAGGTTGTTCAAGCAGTGCTGCGCACACAGAGAGCCCTCTTGCTGAAACACACACACACACACACACACACACACACATCAACAATGGCACTTTATAAAAATATGTTTATATTCAGTCATCGAATAACCTTGCAACATTAGTTTTCTCATATGCACACAAACACACATTACATGCAAGGTCCTCAAGCCATAGTTTGGCAACCTTTAACAGCTTCTTGACTGTTATCGAACAATACCGAAGGAACTCCTGTTGAGCACTGCTCACTGAATGTGCATGATTAGAGAGTCCTAATAATATGAGCACTGGGTCTGTTTCCAGGTTTGCATTACAAACCTCACACCAGAATCCCTGTAGCTCATGACAGAAAATAAGAGTATGAGGCAAGTCAGCCTCCTCTGCTTGGCACTCATCACAAGAGGGGAGACAGTGTAATTACACTCCTGTGTAATGTCTGTTTCTATCATAACTGATCAATACTGCAGTATTTCAGTACCATAAGCAGCACAGTAATAGTCACGTGCGCATCATGCATCAGTGCTGCGGTGTATGATGATAATAAAGTGGCATGGTAACGCTACATGTCTGTACACACAGCTACTGTGAGGTTTACAGACACAGGAGAATGATGAAAGCGACGCACACTGACAGTAAACAAACATATCAGTCCATTTCTGATTGCTGACAGTCCAAGAACCCTTCATATAAACCCATTCGTGTAAAGACACGCAGACAAATCTCTCATTTACGGGCGATGAACGTGTGAAAAACATAGAAGTCATGAATATAATTCGCTAAAACGCGATTCTTACTTTTTCGTGGAAAATAGACTCCATGTTTGAGTGTGAGTGACGGACAGCCGGAAACATGTCATAATAAAAGTCTCCCAAAACACAAGCGCTCGTCAGCTGAAACAGCTTGTTAAATGCTCGTTTTTATTGCATATTAAACCACAAAATTTATTATATTTTACTGTAATCGTACAGTTATTGACAGTGTGTCATTCTATGGAAATGTCCATTTTTCTGTCCCTAGCCTTTACAGAAACCTTACACTTGAAAAACACTTTAGGGTCACAATTTTTATTATGCATTTTAAAATGACACTGTGTTATTTGAACCATTAAACCTTCTTGAGCAATCAATGTGGCAATATTTCTTTTTAACTAATTATAAAGAACTCCAAGCACCACAAACTGCTCGTCCCACAGCCATGTACAGACGGAAAGTGCTTTATTTTGAGGTCAAAACTGTTTTTTTACCATTTAAAATACAATAATGTATTCATAACTATTTAATATATGACGTAAATGACATAAACTAAACGCCAAATAAATATGAAATATATAATGAAAGTAGTGGTCCCCTGGAGTTGTAAATAAAAATAAAAATCATTTCTTTTGAGATAAAAATCACACTGATGACACACACCATCCAACACACCATCAAACACACCATCAAAACACACCATCAAAACACAGCATATCCGCTCAAACACACCATCAAACACACCATCAAACCACACCATCCAAACACACCATCAAACACACCATCAAAGCACAGAGCCGTGCAGAAGAGTCGACATGAAACACTGAGCGCAACCCAGACTTAGACCATCAGATGGGTACATTATGAAAAATAAGCTGTTTTAGAGGCGAAGCGAGTCTTTAGAGTATGACGAAAGACGAACATGTTGTTATTCTTTGGAAATCATGCACAAAAAGACCAGGAACATGAATTGAGAAGCAGTGCAGCTGCAGTGTTCTCCCATGTCCACATCACTGCACTAAACCGCTTCCCCGTGCCTCACCTGAATGGAGAAGAAGCCGCTGTCATCCATGTTTCCCGACGGTTGCTACAGAAGGTAGAACACAAGCATATCAAGACTGTGATCACGCATAACAGTGGCACTTGTAGTTTGAAGCGGGCCGTGTGTGTAGCACCTGCAGAAAGGTCCTGTACTCCTCCGTCTGAACGCCTCCTTCAGCCATGCGCACGCGCTCCTCCTCGTCCAGCTGCTGCGCGATGGCCGACAGCTCCACCGGACTGAAGTACTCTCCCTGCAGCAGGTTGTTCAAGCAGTGCTGCGCACACAGAGAGCCCTCTTGCTGAAACACACACACACACACACACACACACACACATCAACAATGGCACTTTATAAAAATATGTTTATATTCAGTCATCGAATAACCTTGCAACATTAGTTTTCTCATATGCACACAAACACACATTACATGCAAGGTCCTCAAGCCATAGTTTGGCAACCTTTAACAGCTTCTTGACTGTTATCGAACAATACCGAAGGAACTCCTGTTGAGCACTGCTCACTGAATGTGCATGATTAGAGAGTCCTAATAATATGAGCACTGGGTCTGTTTCCAGGTTTGCATTACAAACCTCACACCAGAATCCCTGTAGCTCATGACAGAAAATAAGAGTATGAGGCAAGTCAGCCTCCTCTGCTTGGCACTCATCACAAGAGGGGAGACAGTGTAATTACACTCCTGTGTAATGTCTGTTTCTATCATAACTGATCAATACTGCAGTATTTCAGTACCATAAGCAGCACAGTAATAGTCACGTGCGCATCATGCATCAGTGCTCCAGCGCTGTCTGAGCCACTCGTTTACACTGCTAGCATGCTTATTTCAGATCTTCGTCTTACAGCACCATCACTGAAGCACATCCCATAATAGCCCAGCATTGCTTCAGTACTTCAGCGCACATGTAGTGCAGGCCACTCTCAGAACTAGTCTGGACTTCAGGATCAGTCACGTGATGTTCATTCAGCACCAGTGTATCATTAAGTGCTATGGTACGTGCTTGTAAGCGTAGTTACTGTGGTGTTTACAGAAACGCAATCAGAAACACAACAGGAGAATAATGAAAGTGACAGTAAACAAACATTTCTAAAGATTTTCAGCCCATTTCGGATTGTTGACAGTCGATAAAAGTCCAAGAAGCACTCATATAAACCCGAGCGAGCCCATTCGCGTAAGCACGCGCTGACACGCAGACCAATCTCTCATTATCGGGTCGAGCACATGTGAGATACATAAATATAAGTCATAAATATAAATCGCTAAAACGCGATTCTTACTTTTTCGTGGAAAATAGACTCCATGTTTGAAAGTGTGATGCCGGAAGAGCCGGAACAGCCGGAAACTACGACACGTCCAAACATGTCACAATAAAAGTCCCCCAAAACACAAACACGTCAAATGAAGCAGTTAGTAAACTATGGGGGTAGAATTGTTGCTTTATTCCAAATAAATAGATTATGATCCACAAATAAATGTAAAGAGATTAACAAAAATTAAACATATTGACGAATAAATAGAATGAGATCCACAAATAAATCTTAGCGTTTCACAAACATGAAATAAATTCACAAATAAATAAAATGCAATTCGCAAATAAAAAACATATTCACAAATATCTTTTTAAGTCACAAACACAACTTTGCCTGGCATTCATTTGTGGATCACTCGCTGTGCATTTGTGGATTTTGAAACATTTCTTGCATCGAGACACACACCAATCCACAAATGCGTGGACTCCACCCACCGTCTACTCAAGCCAATCAGATAACAGCCTCACTTCGCTGACCAATCGTAGCATGTTCTCGCTATAGCCAGTCAAAGACAGATTCATTTTGCACCCCTGTAAGGAACTGCATTCCATGGACACTTCGTTCAAACTGAGCTTAAGTGCTGTTTGTAATGGCTAAAGTGGTTGTGGTTAAAAAATCATGTTTCCAAAAGATTGTTGGAGTGTAAGGCTTCTTTTCCTTCAGGATCAGTGCATGAGGATAAACTCAGGATTATACACAACTTGATAATTCATAATCAGTCTACACTGGACGAGGTGACATGGGACTTTTAAAGCACAATTGCGGTGACAAATATATGGCATTAAAACTAGTAAGTCTGTTTTATATGAAATATTGTTTGCGTGATCAAGTGTTTTAACCAATATCTCGTCTTACATGTATATGCATTTATATTCAACACACCTGCACCACATTTAAAAAAGAACCCACATATATGTTTTCCTGCCCAAACAATGGCAACTTTGTAATACTTTTAATTAATGTTTGAAAATATTATTTATAATGCTTCATACATTGTTAGATCCACATTGCTGTTCATTAGTAAGTTACTTATTGACGCCTTTCTTTCCATCTTGAATAACATGACGCTTCCATAACGTGTTTGTATCCAGCATTGCTCCCATAGCCGTGATTTAAAGCGCTGTTTCTCTGGCATTTTCAAAGGCACGTTAATTATAATCCTGTGGCTTGGCTTGATACGCAGTCTAATGGTCTAACAAAATCCAGTTTTAAACATCTTTTACTATACCAATTTTTATGGCCCTTATATTTCTTATTTGAGCCAAAGGAGATGAATGAATTTATTTCAGGACGAGACCGCCCTGATTGTAAAGCAACACGTGATTGGCTATAGCGAGAACGTGCTTAAAAAGATATTTATTTGTTTGTGACTTAAAAAGATATACTATCCCCCTTGTCTTCTTCTGCTCCACCACCCTCCTGGACTGTTTGTTTTATATTGCTATTTTCATTTTTGTGGAGCATCTAGAATCCGCTCCTTAAAGGAGGACCTCTGTTAAACTAGTTTTGCATGGTTCCTGTTTCCTCTGTGATTAGTTTGATTTGTTTTCAGCTGTGTCTTCTTCACCCCTGTGAATATAAGCCCTTGTGTTTCCAGTGTTCATTGTCTGTTGTTTATCCACTGTTGGACGTATCATCCATGTTCTCAGTTCTGCTCCCTTGTCTCTTGGTTTTCTCATGAACTGCAGAGGCCGGGAGACACCAAAAGTCCTGGAGGGCAGGGCGGTGTCACAGCAAAGAGCAGACAAGATGGAGCCCGGGTGAGGACTGAGGCGGAGCTGGAGCGACTGAGGACTGAGGCAGAACCAGAGGGAAGGAGGAGCCCGACGTAGCAGAAGGGGTGGAGGGATGAGGTGCAGATGATGGACCGGAAGTCTGTGCTGCAGGCAGAGTGTTGTGATCCTCCTGTATCTCACGGATTGCAAGGGGATCCGCAATGAAACAGGACCCAGTCCAGGTGCTCCATGCATGTCCATCAAGAGTCATCTCTGGTCCGGATGTGCTTTTATCTGTGGATTCAAACCTGTCCAGAAAAACATGCAGATGCTGGTGTCATGGACAAGCTCCAAAAACCTCCTCCATATCTTAGGGTCTGTTCAAAGAAAACTGGTTTGGGGTTGCCAGTGAAGGACTAGTTCACCACAGTTATCCGGTTAGAGACATGGAGAAGCAGCTTGGAAGTTCTTAAACGCTTTATTTTCACCACATCAAAGTTTCACTAAAGCGTGAGCACATAAGTGCAAACAAGTACAGTGGTGTTTTGTGTGTGGTCCGAAACAAAGCATACAATAACATCAAATTAGAATAAGCACAATTCAATAAACTTGGTAAATCCATACATTGAAAGGTAGCAGAAACACACTTCCATGAACAATCAACATAAAATGTAAATACATGAAGGTTTGGCTTTGAATGCCATTGGTCAGAAAATGAGAAAATCATAGCTGGTGTTGTGATCTTATCTCCCTTCCTCAATTCATGATCAAGTTAAGTTAGGTTTATTTGTATAGTGCTTTTCACATACACATCGCTTCAAACCTTTTTTTGAGTGACTTCAGCACATCTGCAGGACTTCACTAGTTTCTCACTGCGCTGCCGTGATCTCGGTCCACTCTTCTTCCACTCTCTTCCATAGTTCAGTAACTGTAGGGGGTTTCTCTGCCAGAACTTTGTCGAGATTTTCAGTCGGGTTTAGATTAGGACTCTGGGCCGGCCATTTCATAATTTCAGTGTTTTCAGCTTCAAGGAACTGCTTTATCTGTTTTGCAGTGTGACGGGAGCTTTATCTTGATTGGGAGATGCTTGCAGGGAAGGAACTGCATGTTTCTGATGAATATTTGCATTCACCTGCCATGTATCTGTGTAAGAGACCCAACTCATGACCATGACACTGCCACCTCCACCTTTCACTGACTTCTTTACGCACTCGGGCTTCAGTCTTTCCTCAGTTTGATGCTGAACAAAATGTTTCCCATCAGACCCAAATAAAGTAAACTTGCTCTCATCTCTAACGTGAACTCTGGAGCAGTTCTCCTCTCTCCACACAACATGCTCCTCAGCAAAGATGAGTCTAGCCTTTTGATTCTTTCTTCTGATGAGAGGTTTGGTCACTGCAGAGTTCGACTTCTCTTACACGTGCAGAGATAGATCCTTACCCTGTTCAACGCTGAACTGGCGAGCAAATCCATTTTATTTTATACTGTGCTTCAGAATACAATTAATTTATGAAATATGCTTTAAAAACTCCCCTTCTGCTCCTGTACTTCAAATAGGACTAAGCAGTGACCTTGGCTTGAAGTTTAGAAATTGTTCTCTAATTTTGATCTCCACTGTATGTGATAAATAATTACTTATTTTGTGGTGTAAATCCATAATTCCTTTTTAGTGCTTTAGCCCCCCCAGTGAGCAAGACAAAGGCGGCTGCGACAAGGAAAAAACTCAGTTTGGTGATAGATAGATAAGCTTTGGGAGAAAACAGCCTACACGGAACAGTTAATTGTTGAGTTATGACAGTCTCTTGGCACAGGTTGTGATTGTGCTCGTCAGACATATAGCACAGCACCAGAACATCCGGCTGGACTGAGGCGGGACCCCGAAGTGTCCGGGACCAGAATCCCACGGGTCAGAAAGAAAACAAAAAAACGAACATTAGCGTAGATGCCACTGCTTGATTAATTTAGTGAGACTGCTATACAAGGTTTCTCATCTCATGAAATGGCTTTGTTGAGGAAGAGGAGCACTCTCGAGCTGAATCTACTCAGTGACTCTTCCCTTACTCTTCTCTGTGATGATGCTCAGGATTATCACATGCTTTTTCATTTCATAATTCCACAGCAACTGCTCTGCCATTGTTTTCTTCTGCCTGCCATGCATCAGTCCTTGCAATTACTAGATGTGAATTACAGTCACCCATTTACCCAGAGATTTGGGAATGTGGTAGTGATGTTCAACGCAATGACAAAAATTTCCTTCCTTTCTTTTATCAGAAAAATGTGTTTTATTGAGACACACAGTCTATGTGGAGGGAACGTCTCAGCTGTGTTTTTCAGACGCAGATGTACACAGACTGCATGAGGCCAGCAGGCAGAAGAAGCTCGAGTGTCTCTCTCGTCAGCAGCACCTGTCTGTCTGCGCAGCATCCTCACGACTGACCTCGCCAGAGACATGCAGAGCACAGTATCATTAGGAGAATTGGTTTGAAGTGGTGCATCACGAGCAGAGCGCATCCACCACTGGAGGGATCAAATCTGTGCCATCTGACGCTCAAGGATTTATGGGTTTAGTCCAAATTGCTTTTCCCAGTGTGGAGATTAAGCTGTGTGATGTTAACAGGACAGACGTCCGTGTTCGTTCGGGCTGCAGAGCACCGAGGATGTGAACACTGAACAGGGATATGAGCACCATGCAGCTGGAGACTGTGTTTGTGTTCATCTGCGTCTGTGTGCTGGGCGCCGCCGGAAGATTGGCCCACAGAAGAGGTCCCAGACAGGAGCCCTACAAGCAAAGCAGGTAATACTGCTGTTGTGAATGCGGCCTGTCGAGTGCAAAGGAATGAAATCAGCTCTGATGGGAAACGATAGCTCGCTTTTCTAATAGAGTTGTAGTTTCTCCCATCATGAAACAACGCATAGAACAAAGAAAGTTATAATGATAACGATCCTTTATCTCCCTGCACGGTTTCATGCCAGTAACAGACATCAGTCAGACGAGTGTTGGAGGAGACACACTGCTGGTTTGCTCTGGAGAACAGAGAGGATTTCTGCCGAGCGGATTATTAACCAGCTGCCTGTGAGCGGCCGCAGCCAGCAACATCACATCAAACATCACGGCTTCTTCTGCGGCTCAGCTGTCATCTGCACATAATGATGAGGCTTTAAAACAGTTCAGATGTATGTGATGCACGCTCGGGACTTATTCTGTTCAACACAAGCTGGAAGAGATTGAAAAGTACAAATGTGTGCTGCACTAAAGCAAACACTGAAGAAACAGCCTCGCAAATGATCAATATCACAGATGAAGTGCGACACCTGTGCGTTTGTGTGTTCGTTTGTTCAATATTTCGTCAAATGTGAGCAATATGAGTGCAGTCCTCTCAGCTCTGAACACATGCGATCAAGTTTACATCCGCTTCACTGAATCAGTGCAGAAATGCAGGAGAAAGGCCTGCGGATCCTATTGATTCAGCAGAACTTCATTTCATTCTCTTTTTGTTCCTCACAGATTACGGAGAGAAACGACACGAGTGGATGGAGGAGCCCACAAGTCTGGCAGGTACAACATTATTCAATTTGGATCTTTATACAGTCTTTTGTTAGTAATTTGGTTCTATAGTTGTGTATATATATATATATATATACACACTCTACCGGTAAAATGTGGATCAGTAAGACTTTAGTAATCTAAAAATTTAGTAATCTAAAGCAGCATATTATACTGATTTCTGAAGATCATGTGACACTGAAGACTGGAGTAATGATGCTGAAAATACAGCTGCTATTTGTCTAATAGTTCTACTCTTATTGTGATTGTAGCCCAATCTTCAGAAGAAGTCCAGACATGACAAAGTCTCCTATGACCAAATCTGAGCAGCTGTTGAGGATAGATGACCATGACTTTACAATGAGACCAGCGTTTGGAGGTGAGACGTGTACGCAACTCTGTTTAAAACAACATGCACACATTTATGTATTTGTCAGACTCTTTAGTTCAAAGGTGTGCATTTCTATCAGTTCATGCATTCCCTGGGAATCAAACCCACGGTGACGCTGCATGTGAAAACACCTCGTAATCCAGCTTCCACTGCAGAGAAGAGCACCAGTTTCTTTATGCTGATAACATTACAACACTCTTTACATGAGCTCTGGAGGAAAGGAAAACAGAGCCGGGTGTCCAGATGTTTGACTGGTCGTGACCCACTTGTGTTTGAGCGCTCGTGTCACAGACGATAGTGAGTCTGAGCTAAAATAGGCCACAGATCCTGCAGCTCACAGAGAGAGAGCGCTGCGCTACTGTAATATCTCTGTAATATAAGAGTGTTGTCTTTGCCTGTGCTCTTACAGGACCTCCGATCCCAGTAGGTGTGGATGTTCAGGTTGAGAGTCTCGACACCATCTCTGAGGCTGACATGGTGAGCGCTTGATTAAGAGCATGCCATTATTATTGTGAATGATTGAATCGACAGACACATTCACTGAAAAGAATCGTCTGCTTCACTACATCGTTATCATGGACATTACTGCTGCCCTGCTGTGTAGCCCAAGAAATACATTTGAAAATACATTTTATTAACTTGTTTATTCATTAACATTCATTCCAAAAGTAGCCTAAGCCTACAATGACAGTAAGAAACAGTGAAACATGAGTTGAATCAAATTGACTGTGAAAGTCGTTTCAACATGTCTGTGCCCAAATTAAGAATGAACGACTATTTCTACAGCCATTGCAAAGAGACAGCGGAGAAAGAGTGAGAAAATAATAATTAATGCTTAAGTTTGATTCAGTATTGCTCTTAATGGAAACCCCCCATTGAGTTATACAGTTAACATAACACGGACTGATGTGGTTTTATTAAATGCAGTGGCAGTAAAAATACTGTAACGCTCCACCACTGATAATGCTTGGGACTGTAATTATATTGTGGGACTTTTGTTTTCACTAAAGAAGATGTAGTCATTCAATCAAATGGTTAGTCAGTGTTGTTTGCTGGTTATTAATCATTACAATGCTTAGCTTCATGCCAGAGATCAGGTAAAACCTCGAGTGACTCTAACATCTGCTGTAATTGCTCCGTGTTTTCACCAGCTGCTGTTTCTCCTCAGGATTTCACCATGACACTGTATTTGAGGCATTACTGGAAAGACGAGCGCTTGTCCTTCCAGAGCAGCAATAATCAAAGCATGACGTTCGACAGCCGGCTGGTGAAGAAGATCTGGGTGCCCGACATGTTCTTTGTTCATTCCAAAAGATCTTTCATCCACGACACGACAACAGACAACTTGATGCTACGCGTGTATCCCGACGGAAACGTGCTCTACAGTCTGAGGTGAACGCCTGACAGAGAGATGCTGATGATCTCAGTCAGTGAAGAGACTCTAATCATCTCATTCCTTCTCTAGCAGTCTGAGCAGGGCCCATAGTTAACACTCGCCAAGCACCAAATGAGGGTTACTCGTTAGGCCGGTAACTTTTTAATATTAATTCTAACAATGTCTGAGAGCACGATATGGGTTAGCGTGATTATCAAACTGCAAAGACTGCACTGTAATCATATAAATATGTAATCAGATGTGCTGCATGATCACAGTAAAGCGCACATGAGCTTCACCTCTGCAAACACCGAGTCGCTTAAAACCTGCGTTTGAAAATTCAGTATGTGCAGAACATCTCCTCAAACTTTTGTTGTCAACAAAAGTGGTGCATTTCAAAAGAGAAGTTTCTCTGCGTTTTTCCACCAAAACAATAATACGTTTTTTTTTCATTCTTATTTAAATAAAAATTCACAGTTCAATAGTATTAGGGTGATATTTCTTTATTGATTTGTTTAATTTTTAAGTGATAATAATAATAATTATTATTAATAATCACAAAATATGAACAGTGCTAATAAAAATTGCAATTAAATGTGTTTCCCCTGATTTTTATTTAAATAATGCAATCTCCAATCTCTTACAATCCAACAATTACATCCCTTTCTTTAAAGAAGAAACCGGTCAAACATGTAAATCCAACAAAAGGAGAAACTCTTAAATATTAGATATATCTAAATGTAAAAACACTGAATATAGCCATATTTAGGATGTTTCCCCTGGTCTGATGTGGTGAATCTGACTTGTGTTGTTGTAGAGTGACCAGAGCAGGATTTCATAACTCGGGTAAAAAACGGTGCTAAGAGTGAGAGTCTGCCTCTTACTTAACTACCTCTGAAACAGACACGCACTGCCCATAGAAAAGGACTTCTTTCATTAATTCATAAACAAACCTTGCTATGAGTGAACATGTATACCCCAGGACATCATGTGTATTATTACTGTTGTTGTATATTTGTTTTTGTATTGCATACTGTTTTATGCATGCGTCATGATAGAATTATTAGATAATGTAACCCCATTGGTACCATGCTGATATCAAAATAACCCTTGTTTGGTCCACTACACATTGATGGA